GCTATTATGTTTTCCAGCTTTGCCCCCGCCCGCCACATCATCACTGTGTCACGCGCTAAGCGATTTTTTTTTTCTTTTTTTTTTTCCCGTCTTTTCTGTATCAGTTTCCTTAATTGACTATGAAGCATAGTCGATTAGTCTTAATCGACTATGCTTCATAGTCGATTAAGGAAATTATTTAATTTTTTTTTGTTTTTTAATTTTTTTTTTTATATCATGTAGGGGTGTGCGCGGGCCATAAACCCGCGAGTTCTATCAAAACCCGCCATCGTTCCGTCAAACAACGGTTCTTGATTTTGAAGAACCAAACTTGTGGGTTTTTAACGGGTTTACGATAGGCGGGTCCATGGCGGGTTTATAGTAGGACCCAACCTTTACGGGTCGAAAGCCGTTATCGTCTAAACTATTTTTTTTTATATATAATTTATAAGTTTTACGGGAGAATAATTAAAAACTAAAATGAATAACCTAAAATTTTAAATTGAAACCAAACATAAATAATGTAAATGTCAAGAGTAAATAAAAATTAATATAAAACTAAAAATAACTAATTCATAACTTAAAAGACAAAATTTAAATAAAATAAATATAGTTTTTTCAAGCATAACCAACGCTATTCAGCTCCATTCAACACCATTTTCTTCTCTCTTTTTTTCTGCCGTGTGTTGACCGTTGTATATATATGTTTTTTTTCCTACATTTTCTTAGAGATTTTGATAATCTTTATAGCTATTACTTCCACAATTATAGTTTAGTTAATTTATGTATTTGATACACTAGAGATACTTTATTTATTCATTAATATTATTAATTTATTATACTATATAATGTAAACAAAACGACGTCGTTTTGTATGGCGGGGCGGGACGGGTTTCACGGGTATTAAAAAAAATGGAACCCGTCTAAGACCCAAACCCACGGTTCTTCACCATTTTAGGACCCAATCCTATGGATGCATCTATCCGTCCGGTCCCAACGGGGCGGTTTTTCACGGGTTTGACGGGTGTAGCGGGTTGATGGGTCCGACTTGCCCACCCCTAATATCAGGTATATTAATCGACTATGATGTGAAGCACAATCGATTAAGAATCTGCTACTAAAAATAACAAATCACAACTGCGAAAAAAATACAAAATCAACTATATATTACAAAAACAAAAAATATACAAATATTATAAATGATTTATATAATTGGAATCAATACACAAAAAGTTCAAAAAAAATAAAAAAATTGGAGTCGATCATCCTTAATCGACTGCCAGAGCATAGTCGATTAGCTAAATCGACTATGAACGTGTACATAGTCGATTAAGGTTTCAGCATGCGCGGAATTCTCTACCAGCGCCGTCCTCCGCCCGATCCACAAAAAAACCCTAAATCTGTCTCCCCATCGTCACCACACCGCCGCCACAACACACCATCACCACCTTACATTGACATTATTACGGTTTTTTATTACAAATAAATAAATACAATCACAACTCGCACCACCAACCAAAGTAGAACCACCACCCGTCAAAATCAGATTCCGGCTACAAATCGACAATCTTATCTCTATTCGCCTCCGATATAGCATCCTGGCATCGAATCAGAATCGCTATCAAAATCATTTATAATGTTTGATGGGTGCTTCATCTTCTTTCTTTCTCCATCTCCCGGTGGAGGCGGCGACAGTTGCGGAGAAGTCACGGAGAAAACAGAGGGAAAAAAACAAAGAAGAAGAGAAAAGAGAGAAGAAGAGAAACGTTGGAGCGTGAAAACGGCGGATGAAAAAATAAAAATAAGATTAGGGTTTTGAAAGAGTATAATAGACAATTAAGGGTAATTTTGGAATTATGAAAATATCACATGGGTGGAATATTAGCTAAGGGGATTTTCTCTAATTATTTTTTGGAGGAGGTGTTTTCTTAACTCATTTTCCTAGATGAGGGGGTTCTTGCTAATTATCCCTAAATTAATTGTGTTTAATTGAATTTAGATTTACTCAGTGATATTAACTTGCATGGATTGTTGTTATAAATTGGGTTAAATGGCAGTGTGATTATTTTTCATTTGCATTTGAATTATGGATTGTTGAGTACCCTGTGC